CAGGGGGAATTCCAAAAGGAACTGGACCAGGAAAACGTGCTCTTCATGCTCTAGTATGTCAGTATGTAACCAGTGATAAAAAAAGGCTTCCACAGAGGATATGACTTTAAACCAATACAGTCCTCAGCTCTGACACACTGGGCTTCCAATGCTGTTCTTGTTTGATGACTGAGGCAGTCCAAGATGGCTCTCAGAGGGCTATAGATCCAGCATTGTACAGACTAAAATGCTTCTGGAAATGGTGCTGAAACAGAATCTTTCCCCCCAGTTACTTGGGACTTAGAAGATGATTATGTATTTTATCTTTTAAAAAAACTTTATGCTGGTTCTTCTCCACAGCAGAGCTTGCCCATTCTCTTCATAATACCTTTTTCTTAAGGGTTTTGCTCAAGACTTCTTAAAAATCTGATTATCAGCTCCTTGTTACCCACTGCCTTAGTTATTTGCTACGCTAGGATTAGGCAACACTGTGAACAATGTGCTTTTAAAAAAGACTTGCTTTTTGTCCCATCATAGCTTGCTGTTGTATATGCTTTTGCTTCTTTTAGCCATTCTTCTCAAACAATGCACTATTCTTTAATACTGGTTTAAACAGACACATCTTTGCTATAAAAACAAAAGCTAAAACTGCTAACTAGCCATGAGCATGTGGTACATGAAGTCTTAAAGATTGGACTGGCCCAGCCCAAGCCTACATCTTCACTTTAACATAAGTGTATTTTGTAAAGTCATGTAAATACAGAAAACATCTTTTCTCAGCTAATCCACAATCTTAACCTGCAAAGTCCCACATAAATCTAAAAATGTAGATACCATACCTTCTCACTTCATGATCTTCCACATGTAGTGAATTCATCCTGAGACAACTCTTAATCACCAGCAAGCAAAATTATCAAGTTTTACAACAGACATACATAATGACCGTGATCCATTTATTTGTTTTAAGGTAAAAATAGAGGGGAAACATCAGAAACGTGACTGTTGCATGAAAAATTGTGATATTTAAATTGTTACAGACATAAGATAATGCAGATATCATTACATTTAGCGTTAGTTGATACAGAAAATACCTCAAAGCCCCTGAATTATTACTCTTAACTTCATATAGCACATAATATTGCTACTAAGATTTCTAGTCAAAGTAGTAAATTAGTATATAATGGAAATATTAAGAATTTCTAGATTCTTATAATAGGCAGGCAGGTCAATTAATTTGCAGCACATCTCCCCCAGTCTATTTCTGTGTAATTTGCCTAGACTTTGTTGCTACTGTTTTCTAGTTATATTCAGCTACAAGTAAGTAAAACCTTTGTGGAAACACAAATGGCTGGTATTTACAATATATGGAATCCCTTCAGGCATGGGATCTCTGCTGTTAGGGATCTTTGCTACTCCTTGGTAAACAGAAATGGGCCAAAGGATATGAGATTATTGTTTTTACTTTTTGTAGCTTTTGATCCAGCTCAGTTCTTTCTGAGTGTAATTTGCTTTTGTGTCACAACACTGCTTTTGGGGTATTGGGTTTTAATTTTCTCTAAATGTTGTTTACTGCTATTGTGCCAACACTGAATCACTGCTTCCATCAAAATTAAAATGAAGTAGACAATAAATAACTCCCAAATAGCATGTATTTTTGTTCGAGCCATGACTGAACTCAATGAACTGTACAGAAATTTGGTATTCCTTAGGCAAAATGAGTCACTTCAGCATTCTTCCCTTTGTATAGATGTAGAGTCCCATCTTGCTGACATTAATTGCTTCTCTCATAGAGACCCTTGACCTTTAGCTGTAAGTATGGCCAAGTATCAAGAATCTGAACCTCAAATGAGACAGTCACATTTAACATTCAATCAGACAACAAAGCATCATCTTAGCTTACAGCATTTCCTACAACAGAAAGAGAGATGGCATTTTAAAAAAAATGCTTAGCTCCAGTCTGTAATTGTCTTGAGAGTAAGCTGCAGTAGTACCCTTTGCACCAGAGCAGACTTCCACCAGTGCAAACTACTTCTGCAAAAGTACATCTCCAAATTCCAAGCCATAAACCAACCTAAAAAATCTCTCAGGAGAATGAAATAAATAATAATGCTTCAGTGTGGTAGCTTAGCTTAAAAAAGTTCTATTTCAACATACCTGCTTGTATTATCTGTTAACCAAATGAGAAGACAACGGAATAAACACTACATAACTCCAAATCTCCAAAGTTTGGAAAGGCTTGGCTACGTAATTTTCCTAAATTATATTGATCCTAGAGTCAGTATAGTAAAGAAATTATATTTGGGAATATTCTTTTAAATCAGTTAATCGACTTTATCATGACTGATCATATGATAAAAAACAGATTTGAAACAAACCAGTAGTGTAACTTCCATCATCACCAACAGCAGCACCGGTCTGTTCCCACCTGTTAAGTCCTGTGAGTTCAAGTGGTCATCCCAATTGCTTTCACTATGCAGAAAAAAATAGTAGATCATGTGTGGAACCACCAGAGCAGCTGATGACTGCAACAGTGTCATGGTATATGAGAAATTATTCATGGCTTTTGTATCAGAAAAAAAATCAGGACTTAATCTGCAGTAAAAGTTAAGTCCAACCTCAGGGTTAAAATTTTGCCAGAGCACTGAATGACCTAGCATGTAGACATGTAGTTGTAAAGTCTCCCAGCACATTAGATGTGTCCTGATATTAGGCAAAGTGTCATGCCTCCTGAAAGCAGAGGTCTTTCAAATTGTACTGCAATAACAAGTGTTGACACTCCCTCAGGTGTTTGCCCAAAACCACGGAGGATTACAAAGTTAATTGCTCTGGTCATTAGACAGCATTAGTGGGAGGCTGTGAACAAACTATTGGTTTCTACTGTATATATTCATGTTGGGTGGGAGATTCCACAAACTTACCGAATCTTTACAAAAAACCCAGATATACTTGATGAAATTTTGCCAGACAAAAAGAGGAATTATTTTATCTTGCCAATTACCTGACTCCTATAGAGTCAGCTACACAGGACCAGAAAGCTTCAGAATAACATATATAAAAATATATGATAATGTATAAAATTGCATGAAACAAAAAGTAAACAATGGATAGCACCAAAAATATTTACTTCCCTTGCAGGATTTCCCCTCTTCTCTGACATGAGCTGACCCAGGCCAGCAGCCAAGCACCCACACAGCAAATCGCTCAATTGCCCCCGCCCAGCAGGACTGAGGGCAGAATAAGAAAATCAAAATCAAGAAAGTGGTGTATTAAGATAAAGACAGTTTAATAGGCGAAGGAAAGGTAAAAACAAAACCCAAACCAAATGATACCTAGGTTGTCACTCATCACCTCCTGCAAACACAGGGTTGCCCAGTAAGTCTCCAAGAAGTAGCCACCTTGGAAGACATCCCTCACCCTCCACCTTTCTTCATCTACCCCCAGTTTTGATTGCTGAGTATATAGTATGGGACATCCCTTTGGTCAGTTGAATGCAGCTGTTCTGGCTGTGCCCCGTCCCAAATTCTTGTCCACTGCTAGCTTACACGCTGGGGACAGGGGCAGAATGTGAAACAGAGAAAGCCTCAACGTTTTGCAAGCAGTGTGCTGGAATAAGACAGCTTATTAGTGTGCTACCAATACTGTTTAAGTCAAAATCAAAGAAACAGCACTATACTGGCTATTGTGAAGAAAGTTAATTTCATGTGAATCAGGTCCAGTACAGTTGCTCATACATAATTTAAAGCCCCTGCAGTACTGATGATTTTTTCACCTATTTAAGATGAGACTTCTCCTTAAAAACCAGTTCATAGTCCAATAATGATTTTCTAAAAGGTGCTTCCTACAGATTATGCTCTGTTCACACTTGGATATTGATACTGTGCCATCAAAACGTGTCAAAGAATTAAGTATTTTTATGTTCTTCTCTTTTTTCTAATATGTAGGTAGTGCCAGTAAGAAACACATCACCACTACAGCAATTACCAAAAATCTCATTGAAATCAAGCAAAACCAGACACCTTTTTAACTGGTATGAAATATGAGAGTTTTGTACTTTGGCAACTCTGTTAACTGTAATGGATGTATGGGCCATTTTGCAACGTGGAAGGAGAGCCAGTGTTCCACTGCTCTAAAATAAGGCCAGTGTCCCACACCAGTGCTAGCACTGATATATTACTGGGAAGAAGGAAGCTCTCTTTACTTCCCACTAGGAGGTAACCACACTCATCACAGGACCACAGTGTCATGCAGCATAGTCAAAGCTAAAGGGAACCTGAGTGCTCAGGCTGCAGCCGAGGCTCCTCATGCCACTCATCAGCCCTGTTATGACCCACAGGTGGGGCATGTCACCCCTGGACAGTCCCAGGCAAACAGCAGTTGCCACCTTTTGGGTCTGAGGGGTTGTCTGCAGCGGGAATTAATTCCCTGTCACACAGAGTGCTGAGGAGGCCTTGAAGAGGGACCTCCCTTCAGTTCGGTGTCTGGGCACACTGGAGTCTCCATCACACGTGGAGCTGCTACAGGAAGTATTTTTTATTAAAATATGGAGTGTGCGGAATGAAATATAACAGGAAGGGAGATACTGTGCAACGCTAGGACCCTGTGTAGCTCCAAAAGGAAACCCTCCAAGAGTTATCTTCTTACCAAAGCACACCAAAAGACAGAACTTAAAATATTCGCCGAAGTGTACATACTCCTTTTCCTGTAGGGAGAAGCCCCCACTTGATACACTTTGACCCTCCGTCCCAGGCGTGGTGCTGAGCAATATTGTGCCCATCTTACAGAGCCAGCCTCTGCCACAGGGACCCACATCGCCGGGTTATCACGGAGACCCACATTATGGGGTCCCAGCAACAGCCACCGCAGGCGGCACCGTGGGGGACACGCATCGCAGGGCCCCGGGACAACCCCTCGGGAAAAGCCACACCGGAGGGGCATGGAGGCTGCAGCGGTCCGTGCCTTGCCTTGCCGTGCCCTGCCGTGCCGCCGGGGTCGGCGCCCTCCCACCGGGGCTACCGCCCGAAAGAAGGGGCCGGGGGCACACCGGTTGCGCCCGCTGAGGAGAAGGGAGAGCGCGCCGACACCCCGTTGAGGAAGTGGCCGCGGCTGCGAGAGAAAACGAGGAAGCGACGGCACCCGCGGCGCTAAGCGCGGTTCCAGCCCTGCTCCGGGCTGTACCCTGATCCGGCACGGCACGGCCCGGCACGGCGAAGCTGCCCGCCCGAGGGCTGCCTCCCTGACGGCTCTCTCCCAGCGGCAGAAGTAGCGGCAGCAGACGCCGGGCGGGAGGGGCGGCGCGGTGCGCAGAGACCAGAGGGGAGCGGTGAGTAGGGGCCCTGGGCATGGACACGGCGAGCTGGGCCGCGGCAGGCGGGTCCAAGGGTGCTGGGGGCCCGGCAGAAACGAGAGGCGGGCGGGCGCGCTCACCAGCGAGCGGAGAGGCACTGGGCGCTGGGAGCGTGAGGAGCGGCGGCGGAGCGGCGGCAGTCTGCTCAAGGGAGGTGCTTGTTGGAGCTGCGCCAGGCGGAAAGCGAGCGGGAAAGCTGCTTGTTGCAGCGTTTGTGAAAAAGCCTGGCGCTTGAGGAGCGCAAATCTACAGCTTGAGTACAAAAAAGTAGATTTCATTATGTCTCGGTACGCTACTGTGGTAGGTTTTCAACAAAGCAAGTGTACACAAGCGCGGGGCTTCTCTATGAACGGCACATAACGTGTCAAAGATTTGATGCCTGGCTGAATAGGTTTAAAAATATGTCGCTTTCTTATCAAACTTCCCTCTTTTGTTTCCAAGAAAACAACTGTAGTATATTACTAGACATGCTTTAAGTAGCCGAATATTTCAAGCCTGATGCCAGAGCCATTGCTCTTCATTTTGTGCATTGCCAGCATTACTCAGTTTTCTTCTGTGCTGCATAAAGTTTGTGTTGTAGTTGGCTGTATTAGTTTGAAGTGATGTTTATTTGGGGAAAGATAAGCGATACTTCTGCTAGGTGACGCTGATGCCAGGAGGAGAGTAGCAAGTATAGTCCCAGTCTGGCAGAATTACATGATATATTGTAAAGTGTTTCCATTTTAAAACAAAATTCTTACTTCCAAGGGAGTTAACTGCCTTAAAAAAAAAAAAATAAAATGTTCTTTTCTGTTAGGCCTGTGTCATGCGCTTTCCATCCACAGAAGCTTAGATCTGCTGAGCAGCCCTTGAGGTGAATCTACAGCCTAATCTACAGGCACAGCCGTATGGTACAGAGCTAGTATAAGCGTGCAGAGCTGTGTGTTTTCACAGGCTTAGAGACCATGAACTGTAGCAGTGCACAGCATGTTGTAGGACAAGTCCATTTAGAGGAACTGTGACTTTTTTGTTTTTTTTTCTTCATCCCTCTGTTGGGCATTGAGCGATAAACAGAAAATAAGGAAGTTTGAATGTTCTTTATATTCTGACAGTTATCCTGTGAGGGGAGAAAGATTGTAGTCTGATGAAGACTAATTTGAAATAAGGGGTTTGGAATCAGAACGCTCAAAAATGGCTGAAAGATTAAAATGAATGACTGCAAAATCCCAAGAGAAATACACTTGAAGTGTTCTGGTTTTGCATGTGTTAGAAAATATTACCAGTTTGGCAGAGCAAAGAAGAAGTGTGCAGTTCTCCCATTTGCAGTGTTGTAATTCTGATACAAAAGCAGAATTTCATCTGAAGTCGCAGAAGACAAAACCTGAAATATATATTTAGAAGTACTGCCTTGTCACAGTCAGCACAAACTAACAGTTTTGAAGATTGAATGTGAAATTGTAAAAAGCTGGATTTAAGCACTTTTGAAGATACTGATGAAAAAAAAATATAATGTAGGGGCATTTCCTTAGTCTCCCATCCTTTCTTTTGTATCTGTTATGCCAGAGGCACTGGAATTGGGAGAAGTCACTTCTGAAATACATGTTGATTCAGAAGCTGTGGTCTCACAATCATAATTAGTTTTTGCGAATCACACTTTTTTCCTTCCTAATGCTATTCCAATATGCAGCATTTAGCAGAAAGCAGTGAGTCTTACATGACTGTAAGAAACTGTATTTGCATCTGGATCTGTTGAAGATACTAGGTAGTGTTATCCTTCTTCCAGCTTTATAGACTTTTGGATCAGTGCCTCGAGATCTGTTGTGTACACATTAGACAGGCTGTGCCAGAATCTGCTTTTGGTTGCATGCATTTAGTTCCAGAATAACACATCTGAAAAAGGGAACTTGTCTGTTTTCATGTCATAACTACAAGGAATACAACACTTACCTACCTTTCAATGTGAGTTGCAAGAAGACTGTTCCAATGAGCTATTTAAAATTACTTCTTTTTCACTTAAAGTAGGTGCATGCCTAAGTGAATTACTCCAGTGGGGCAAGAGTGCCTGTATCATTCAGGGTGCCTGTTAAAAAACTGAACACATTTTACAGGTGTTTCTGAGCATGAGTAGTAAGGTTCAGTCATAAGAATGAAGGCTTTTCACCCTGTAAGGATTTGCAGAATCAGATTCTTAATTTCTAATTTAGGAATAAAAGTAGCATTTTATTACAGGTGGACAGTTCTGTAATCAAATATAACACTGGGTTTGCTTGCATTTGACAAAAGAAGAAAATCTTGGGGAGGAGATGATGGTTTATGTATCAGCTGGCATTGATAAGAACACTTTTACAGATAAACATTCCTAATTCTTGCGCCGAGAAACATTATTAATTTTTTCAGTTTAATGTAAGCCCTTTGATCACTCTTGTGAGAAGCAGCAGCCCTGGGCTTTACAGGATTATTCCCTATTCTTGTATGCAGTATAGGCCAATACACAATTATCAATATTTATTTAGTCATAATAAAAATAATGTGATCACAAAGTTGTTGTGTAGTATTTGCATTTTCATCCATTAATTTAAGGTTTCAGCAGCAGGTTTATGTAGTTGATGTTGCCTAGCTGTTGGACAATTTGTGCAGTGACATATCCAACAACTTCTGTTCCCTTCAGAACGAAAGGAGGCAACACAAGGAATCTTTCAGCACTGAAACTGAGTAGAGGTAAAATGTCAGGTGCTAAAAGCTTTTGTAAAAGTAAGACTTATGGCACTGTGGTATGTAAATCCAGCCATGCAAATCCATGAGGCAACTCCTAGGGTGGGGATGGAGTTGAATTGACAGGAATAACATTTGTGGTTGGAGGTAACTAGAGAAAACAGAGACAGGAAGTGTTAGAGTAGAATATGTACTAAGGAAACAGCATACAGTTGACTAAGTATTTTAAGATCATAAAGTAAAAAAAGATGGAGCTTTTAAATGGTTTTTAAGACTTAAAAATCCTTATCTTAAGAAACAGATTCGGTAAAATGAATAAAAGGACCAGGGGTCAGCATAAGGTACATCAGCCACAGCCTACCCCTAATGTCTTGTATAGTCTTTCTCTTACTGTTTCCCACTGTTTCAATGAAATAATGAAGTAAGTGAGAAAAGGAAAGGAAAAAAACAAAAATCATAAAACTTTTGAGACAACTGCCTCTAGAACATGTGGAAGTCAGTGTACTGTCTCTTAGCTAAAGCCAGTGTGACTGGGAACATCTGTGGGCTAGTAAAGCTAAAATGCTAAAATGTGTAGTTCTGCATTTAAAAATTCTAGTGCTGATTTCAAAATTGGCTCTACAAATTTCAAAGGAATTGGGCTCAGTTTAAAACAATGTCTTAATAGTTTTTGCAGACTAGTTTTGATTTTTGTAGTCTTGAGTATAAAGTTTGTTTTTTAATCTAGATTCAAAGCCTGGCATTTGAAATCTGCTAGAAAGACATCTTTTCCCCCCAGAAAAAAAAAAACTCTTTTAAAATACATTACAGAAAAACTTAAACTAAAAAATCCTTTTTGTCATTTTTTTTAGAGAAAGCATAGAAAAGGAAGGTAGTAAGTGTGCTAGGCAGTTTTTCATGGATGAGCTCCCACTCTGGGAAGCTTAGCCCAAATTTTATAACTTGAATCAAGTTTATAACTTGTTCACTTTACAGAGAACAAACAAACAAACAAAAAACCAAACCAAAATTCAATCCAAACAAACAAAGAAATAAAAACCCACAAAAAACAAACTTAAGAATTTGATAAGGTGAAAAGTCTCCAATACCTGAAATATGAGGAATCTAAGTAAAGGAAGCAGCATTAACATAGTCATCTTTGACATAATGTGTTAGATTTCAGTGCTGCATTTCAAAGGATACATATGAATTCTGCAGTATTTTGCTCAAAAGTTGGTAAAACAAGCAGTATATTTAAGTAACGGTTATTTTTATAAATAGGATAATGGAATTAGCTGTCTTTTTCACAACTCCATCTTGCAGGTTTCTGAGAATGATGACTTATTTATAGTGAGTATCAAGAGGAAGAGCGCTGCTCTCAACAGTTCCGGTCATGCATACAGCGGGACACTCCAGAATTAAGAATGCATTGAGAAAGGCTTTGAGTAACTGTTCTGTCCTCAGTTACCCTGTGCAGTCGGTAAGGAATCTCATGCTGCTTCAAGTGAGCTCAACAGCTGTGTGAGTGTCTTCATCCAGTGGATGCAGCAAAGATCTGGTCCGCAGGTATCCTGCGTACAGAAGTTCAGGGGAAGAATTCTGTAAGGGGAGACTGAACTCAATCCCTTTCTGCAGAGGATGCAGAGATGTTTTCACATGGAATCAGTGGTGTGTTGAGGGAGTGATGTTGCTAGTGTGAAATCCAATTGCCTCTGACTCCTGAGGAACAAGTTCTGTCAAATGGAGGCAGTTTTTTGGTATCCTGGTGTAGCAACTATCTGTAGCAACAATTACCTATAGACCATTTAGCAATGTAACCGTTGATGTTGCACAGAGGATGGTACACCATGAGAAAAGAAGGTTGAAAATAAGCTATTTGTTTTTCCAGCCTGGCAGTTTGTCATGCAAGAGCTAGGGAAATACTGCCTGATGGCCCATAACACACTGAGGCCAGGTGCATCCTCTCTCTGCCCAGAGTGATAAACCGGCCTTGTCAAGAGTATTTCACTGGTCTAGGTGTTGAAAATAGGCTTCCTCTGTGGTACTGGAGGAGAAGGCTCCTGCTTCTCTCTCTATAGCATTTCTGCAACATTCTCATGTTTTATGTGAGAAGTGAGGTTACAGTTAATCCAAGAGGTTGTTTGCTGCCTAAAGGGTATTCCTGCATACTAAGAGCCTGATCCGTCCTTTATAGCAATGAGAAGTGAGCTTTAGCTGTACTGTTTGTTCTGAGCATATAGGGCTGTATGAGGAAAGGACGCAGACCTAGTCTTTTCTTGAGTGTGAACTCGTTGACACACTAATTG